CCGCGTGGTATGGATAAGCCCTTGCACTGTACAGCAGGGTCTAAAGTTCATAAACCAAACTGTATTCGCGATATGAGGTGTTACAACTGTTGTAGTGTGACAAACCAATAAAAAAACGTGTTTGAATAACATTTTCATTTGTATTTCAGTAACTTGTCAACATGGACAGTTTATCCCACTACGTACAAATCAAGCACTGTCTCTCAAAAATTATAGAATTATAAACTTACAAAAAGAAATAACAAAATAGACATTAATAACAGATCTAAACACAGTTCTCCTTTCTATAAGCAGAACATCAAATCAACTATAGAAATAGTTTAACAAACTCACAAAAGAATCTTACAAACAAATTGATTGAGAAAACTACAAAGAGTAACGAGTTGATATGTATGTTCTACCATTGCGGTTTAGTCTAATTACAAAGGGATGAGGTGTTAAGATATCGTCATGTCGTAATGCTAGGTAGGGTTCACAGGAATTTGTAACATCATACGCATGGAGGTGATCATCATAGAAATTCGTAATCAAAGCCTTGCAGACAAAGAAAAATTTGGGTTGCAAAGAGCGTCCAACACCCTCGTATACAATTTTGTCTATTATAGCAAAACAAGGATAATGATAATTGTAGGAAGTGTGAACTGCCATCCCAACTCGAAAATATACCCCACACACGGTTATCCATTTAATGGTACAAAACATCTGACCATTCACATCAAATATAAAATGATCTAGAGTTCCGTCAGGATCAACAACATGACGTCGAACAAGCGTGGAAGTACCTGTTTGGAACTCGACTTGCAGTCCATCCCCGGACAAAAAGCGATACGCTAGTTTTAGCATACACTTTAAAATTATTGTGTATGGTAGATTTATTCTGGAATTTGTTGCACGTGCGACTTGCTTAAGTTCCCTGTGTTTTCTCTCCCATCTCATGGTCGACAGGTGGAGCAATGGGCCTAAAACTAACATAAGTCTTGAATAGTGCAAAAAATAATGGAACTTTGGCTGGAACTTGACCCGAAACAGTTCTTGATATCTCGTATGGTGCTCTATAACTAAAGTGTGGAACAATTCCTCAGTACCGGGTTCAAATTCTGGGGCAAATAAGATATCAACAATTTGTCTTAAAGATAACAAAAGCTTCCACACTTCATCATTTTCTGGTACGAGATCACCGAACATTTCAGGGAAACAACGGATAAAACACAACATTTCTGAAGCAGAAAAGTTGATATTTCCGTCAACAATAGTGTCTCTGGTTAGTTTGTAGGCAGGGGGTCTGTTTCCCGCTTCTACTTTACCGTAAAAAAAGTCATCAACTCTCTCCATCAGCTGGTTAAGGGTCATATATTGCCGAATGTAAACAAAAGTATTGAGACATTTAGGAACTACGTACTTTCCCACGCCCTCAAGACAATCATGAAGAATATCTACACTAGGATTTGTTATTTCATGCTATGAGTTTACTCGGTTAAATACACATTCCTCAAACACCCCTGTTCGAATGAGATCGTCAGTTTCCACATCTTCAGCGTAGTTTTCAACAGTGCGCAACATATTTTCCGGTACATGGACCATTCTTTGTACAAATACTTTGTGCATGCGACAAAATCTACAAGGAAAGTTAGCAGTGAACCCTTCGACAAACCCTAAAATAGAATGAAGCCCAGCGTTACCTCCAAGTATTACCGTAAGGGCAAAGTACAATCTGATATCTTCACCGTTAACTTTAATAAGAATGCCCTCAGTTTCTAAAAATCTTAGCTCTTCCAAAACTAAATGAAAAACTTTTTCATTTCCGTTGGCAACGTTTCTATCATTAGCGCGAAAAAGAGCCGCAATAAATATATTTTTTAAAGCACCTAGGAATTTTTGTGGGATTACAGGACAGGTATAATACATGGGACCAAGCTTGTTCGCACCTGAATGGGAACCAATGCAATTGTCAGGCTCAGTATCATCAAAGTTTAAATTTATTGGAAAAACAGTTTTTCCCTCAAATTTAGGAAGAATTACTTGTCTCCATAACGTACCCTGAACAATGTTTTTAATTGGTCTGGCAGTTTCCATCAGGTCATTGTAATTATTTAGAACTGTGTGATAAACACCTTCCATTTCAAAAAACGTTTTTAGCACAGATCGCATAGGCACAAACTGACCAGTTAATGGTACTTGCTGTACAACAGGATTTCTACTACCAACAATTTCCTGTACATAATCAATGTTAAAGGCAATAGGTTTGATTAAAGCGCCAGTCGACTCCAAAGCATCAAACCTCTGAGATTCAGTTGTTAAGTTATCAAGAGAACTCATGGCAATATCAAAAATACTTCCTAAATTAGGGTCAGGCTGCCGAACTCGCGAACGAATGTTAGACACTACACACTTCACTAGCTCCTTACTGTATTGCAGAACCCTATCAACATCGCTTCTGTTCATGGTATTCAATGAGTATAACTTTGATGTAAATCTAAGAGCACCATTAGCTATATTTTCGCAGACTTCATCATCAGTTAGTTCGCGTGGCTCAGGATCATTGACCATACCATCATCCCCACCCTGATCATAAACTAGCTCCATATTATCTGCATTGTCAGGCTCGGGGGGTAAAAACTGCAGCAGCAGTTCGTCATTCACGTCGTGACTTGTTAAATGCTTTTTAAAACTATGCACAGTGTCGTACTTTCGGCCACAATTTGCAAACTTGCATGTAAAGCCAAAGGGACACACTGGGTGGCATGCTACAATGTGATCTGCAACACCACGCACAGAAGGAAACAGTGACCTACAAACTATAACCCCACAGGCATACATGACTAAATTAAACAAGTCGAGGATAGCAATCGTAGAAACTTTGGAGCGATGTGTTGTCGTAGCTACAAGTTATCTTGTATACACAACGTCGAATGAGAAGCCAGAGCTGCTCACTTTCTTCAGGGTATTCAGCGTGAAGGGCGAAAATAGACTTAAAACAAGCGTCTAAAGCTTCCAGACAGTTGTGGACTTTGTACAGGCGTGGTGATATCGAGACGTAATAGTCTGTAATTGTACTGGGCGTCCCGCCTACAACAACAATAAATGGTTGAGTACGTAGTCCATAGTTTTTGTACTTCAGATCTCTGTTCTTGAGAACATCCTTGAGTGCAGCGAATGCCTGCAACAGAACAGATGAATTAAAATCACAAAACAATGAGAGGGTTGAGCGCGTGCAACACTTGAAAGTAAAGCTTACCGTAACATGCAAAATAAATCCTTCTCGGGATTCAAGAACGGAGACTTTCCATGGTTTACATTTACTTGACTTTGGTGGAGTGATTACCATGGATGGCTGACAGACACTGGGAAGCAGCATACAAGTGACAAGAGCCCGAGTATCTACAAAATAAAAACGATCTTATTAAAAAGAAAAACAGAAAGACTGAAGAAGGTACTCAATGCTAGAGATGCACACCATCAGTAGGGTTATCTTGTAACATGCTCAGGAAATTCAGGCCTGCCACATCCCTCACTTGCTCGTGTGCGAGAGCAATAACTTTGTTTTCAAAGCTTTTCCAGTTCATAAATAAGCCATTTTCACTGTCTGGATAAAAAATATTGAAATCTTGCATGAACTGCAAAGAAAATGAATTATAAGTATCACACGCTTATTCATGTTTTCCTAAAAGTACTCTCACAGATAACATACCAGTTGGTAGCCGGAGGCATGGTTCAAAATTGGCCATTTGGCGAGGTACTCAGCCATCACCTTTTTAGGCTCAATTTCGTCTGTAACCTTCCTGCCCTTCTTCCTCCCTCTCACTTTGCATTTGTTTGACTCAGTTATTAGGACCCTCAATCGGTGTGGCGCTGTGATGCTCCAAGATTCCAGAACTTTCGGCCAAGGTTGGTTCTGAGTTTTCAACCACTCTTCGGCTGCCTTGCTCTTTTCGGCGTCGAACTCTGAAAAGAACAGTCAAAGATTTACAAAATATACTAAATATGGGGAGAAGATCAGTGGAATAGGCCTTCTGTACTTTAAAAATCAAAGAAAAAAATAATGCATTACCATCAAACAGCTTTCCAGTTCCAGCAGCAATTTGGAGATACGGGTCGTTCCCTTGATCGACGGTCGCAGGTCTTGAGGTCGACGGGGAACTCCCAGCATTCAGATTGTATAGCCTGTCCTTCAAATTCCGGTAACGATTAACCAACTTGCCGCTGGACTTTGGTTTTGAAGGCGGGTCGGGAGCAATGTAGTACGATCCCTGCAAAAGCAAGTAATTAGCGAAGGAAGAACATTTATATTTCATTAGTTTATTTGGTACCCACCACGGATTCTCTTGGGAACACCGACTTAATCTTGGTTGACACAGTTAAAAAATGACAATTTTTAACCCTGGAACAATGTATTTTTCATATGAGTTTCAATTATTTTGTTGATTTTATTTGCAATGAAGGCTTGATGGCATAGCAACTTACTCTTTGCTGAGGTTTAACAAATAATCAGTGACAGTATGGACAACAATCACTCTTCCCTGGTATGTGAGTCCCTTGTCAGCATCATAGTTCTCCAACACAGACTTCGACAACGAACTGGCATTCAAAATTGAAGTAATATCCTGTTAAAAAAAGAGGAAAAAAGTAGAGACAATTGCACGATATTAACCTTAA